ATCAAGAAACGTTTGCACCTATTCTATATGTTTTAAAATGCAAAGTAAATTAGTTTCTTTTTCTTTTTCATGTGAACTTTCTTTTTTGAAGACATTTGAAGAAGCTGTTCAATGGAATAATGAAGTTAATCAAGGTTTATCAAGTTCAATATTTACTAATAATCCAGAATATTTATTTAAATGGATTGGTCCAAATGGATCTGATTGTGGAATCGTTAAGAAAAATAAAATAGAATATTTTCGTTCTTTTAATTCGATATTTTTCTTTTACTTTTTATTTAAAAGGTAAATGTTAACATTCCAACGAGTGGAGCTGAAATTGGTGGAGCTTTTGGTGGAGAAAAACACAAAGGTGGTGGAAGAGAATCAGGTTCCGATTCATGGAAACAATACATGAGAAGATCGACATGGTTTGTTTATTTGTTTGTTTTTTGTTGAATATTTATGTTATTTTAATTATAGTACAATCAATTATTCAAAAAAACTTCCACTTGCTCAAGGAATTAAATTTACTTAAAATATGGTTTTGTTTTTATAGTTTTAGAAGATTTTTCTTTGAAAAAAAATTCTATTGAGTGATAACAATAGACATGTTTTCTTCTTTTTGTTTTTTTTATTCACGCTTTTAGTTTCGATCTGATTGATTTTAATAAGAAGAAAAAAAAGAAAAATTTTAGATGTTAAAATTATTTTAAATAAATAAAAGAAAGAAAGAAAAGAAAATAATTTCAATGGAAAATCCAGAAGATTTAGAACATATATTATCTTGTCATTGGCCTCATTTATTTGCATCAATAGATCCAACAACACCAATAACATTATCAAAATTATCAACACGTAATTGGTTAATATCATCCAATGGAGGTTTATCATATATATTAAAGAGTGCTTCAACGTTATCAATAAATTCTCTTGATTTTGAACTTCAATATTTAATTGATTTAAATAGATTTTTATCAAATGAATACCGTGTTCCAATACCAATATCAACAGTAACAGGACAATATCATGCGAATGGAAAATATTGGCTATATGAATTTATTGATGGAAAAGTTTATGCTGATAATGATACATCACATTTATTTGATGAAAAAGAACTCATTTCATTAGCAAAATGTATATCAAAATATCATCAATTTTTAATGACACATTCACCATCATTAGCGTCAAATAAAAGAAGTACAACTAGAGAACATCTTCTTGATGAACTTAAACAAGCTGCTGTCAGTTTTTATTTTTTATTTTTATTTTTAAGAAAAAATTTAATTTAGGATGGAATTCCTCAAATATCATCATCAACAATCACCACAACAACAACGACAACCGTCACAACGACAACAACAAGTGGAATAGATTTAGTTAGTCAATATTTTGTTGGATGTTATCCATTATTGTGTCGATTATTACGAGATTCATTATCTCGTCAACAAAAAAGCAATATAATTCGTAGTTATCCAATTCATCGAAATCTTCGTCCAAGTAAAGTTGTTTGGTCACGTGATAATCATGTTATTGCTTTATTAGATTTTGAAAATGTTAATCATGATACATTGTGGCGTGATCTTGCTGTTTGTTTATCAACATTTTGTACATCATCATCTCCATCCATAATAACTGATGTTGATAGAATGAGAATATTTATTGAAGAATATATGAAACAAATGTCAGGAGGAACAGCAAGAGTTTCATCGCAAACTGAACAAGAAGTATTTCAATTGATTGTCGATGAAATTATTTTATGTGCTATCGAAGATTTTACTTTTATTTATTGGCAATATATACATCAAAGAGAAAAATTTCAAGGACTTAAAGCTATGGAATTTTATTATAAAAGAGCTCTTTGGCATGCTGAACATGCATTAAAAAAATAATTTCTTTTCTTTTCTTTTCTTTTATTAAATAAACTATTTTCTCTTTAAATTATAGATTTAAAACATGTTATTATTCAATTATTTTAATAGAATAGAAAAGAAAATCATCAAAGGATACTTACATGTTTCGACACACAGAAATGTTTTAAAAAATCAATAGTATTTTATTTTCATTTTCATTCTATAAAACCTATCTGATTAATTAAAATATTGATTAAATAGCTAACAAATTTTTATCCTACTTTCCATGGTAAATTATTTGATTCATTCGTTTAATAGATATTTTTAATATATTTATAGAAAAACTTCGAAGGTAATCAGTTAGTTTGTCGTATCTTATTGGAAGTTTTCAAATCTTTCTGATTCTGACGTAACTTTGTTTTATCTGTTTCTTTTCGAAAACTTGAAGATTAACTGCAGTTTATGTGTGATCTTTGATGAAATTCGATACATTTCTGCAGATTCTCTGAATGAACTTAATTATATATTTGGTTTGAAAATTCTTTTAAACTACTGACAACGATATTTCATTGGGAACAAACATATTTCATTCATCTAAATAGTATGTATTGATATTTATAGCGAAAGATTATTGAAAATTTTAAACGAAAAAATCATATATTATTTTGACGGATGTCACATTTATTGATGAATTAAATTTCTTTTTCTTTTTTCTCTTACAATTGAATTGAAATAAAAAGAAGAACAAATGAAATCATTGCATGATAAAATAAACTTATGAATAATTAACATTATTAATATTTTGCATAAGTCTTTCTTCGTCTGGTAAAATAATTGATAATTTATAAATAGGTTCATCATCTAAATCAAAATTGGATGAAACATCAAATAAATGTTTAAGTAATTTAATATATCTTTGTGATAATAGTTCAATTGTTTTTTCTTCAAATAATTTATTTGAATACTCAAAATAAAATTCAAACGATTGTTTATCTAAATAACAAATTATATTTAATGTTAAATGGAATGGTGTTAATTTATCATCTCGTTTAAATAATTGATGATTTCTAAATAAAATTTGTTTTAATATAAGATTTTGATCTAGATCAAAATTCAATTGATAATCATCAATAATAACTCTTATTGATATTTGATTAAATGGATATTTAATTGAAGAATATTTTCTTGTATACGATATTAAATTTTGATATGGATAATAGGAATTATCTTTTATTAATGAAGTTAAATTTTGAATTTTCTCAATAAATTTAGTAAATGATTCATGTGGATCCAGTTCATGTCGATAAACATTTAAATTTTCAAAAGGTCCAATTATATTATTTAACTGTTGTTTGATACGATTTTGTGTCATACTTGTTATACATATATCTGTATCTTGTGTTAATTTGAATAAATAAATATAATATGTAGATAGAAACAATCGAAATAAATTAATATTTAATTTTTGTTTATATCGAAATATTTGTCTTGTTAAAGATGGATCAATACTAAATGCATAAAATGATCCTGTTGATATAATATCATTTAATTTATTATCGTAGGGAAGTTTTATTTGATGATTGAAATTATAATCAGAAAATAAATTTAACCAAAATTCTTCACTATTAGTTAAATCTAATTGACGTTCATATTGTGAATAATCAATAAATCTTAATTGATTTTCATTTGAGTTTAATTTTTCATTTTGATATGCATTTGTTAAGTCTTTTAAAAATAAATAAATCGAATATTGATCAATGGATGAATGATGAAATATAAATAGAATATAATCATTTTTAAATAATGTATTTTTATTATCGTCATTCATTTGTTTTAATAAATGATAACGAAATATTTTTCCTTTATTCAAATCAAAATCAGTTGAGATTTCTTCATTATAAATAATTTTATTAATAGTTTCAATATTATTATCATTTAGATAAGTTAATCGATATGAATAATTATCTTTATCAAATTTATTTATTGTTTGCTTTAAATAATTTTCATTTAAATCATATTCTAATGATGTTCGAAATATTTCATGTTTATTTAAAACAAGCTCAATTGATTTATGTAAACGTTTTATTGATAAATATCCATCATCAATTTTATAAACAATAAGTCGATTATAATTATATAAATTTTCATCATTTTTTATAAGACTTTCTCGTATTTGTTCATCAATCCAAATACGTTCTTGACTAAATGAACATTTACCTTCAAATAAAATATTATTCATATCATTAATTTATTTTTATTAAAACTTTTATAAGGAAAAAACCTTTTAAAATATTTAGACGCTTCCATTCTTCATTGGATTCATTTGTCATTTTAGTTTGGTTTAATGTTTAAATCTAAAGAAATTAAAAAACAAAAATGTGACTGAACACGAAGGAAAATCGATAGATAATCATCGAATTGATCTATGAATACATTTGAGCCATGAATAAACGAAAGCATGAATGAATGATCGATCATTTTATGAAATGTGATTATTCAACTGTATCGAATAATTTATCTTATCGGTTAAAATCAATACTTTTTTCTTCTTTTTTGTTACAAGAAAATTATTTTTACTTTTAAATAAAAAAATGAATTCTGTTGATCCTATTCTAGAATAGAAATAAAATAAGAAATATATATAATTATATTTATATATATGCAAGTTTTTATTTTAAGATCTTTCTTGTTTATGACAAATGTTAATTCACAATACATATTTATCTGAATCTTTCTTTTATTGTTTCAAGAGATAATAAAATTTATTTCCAAGTGATTTTTAGTTAATTCGATGATTATTTTTTGAATATGTTGAATAAAATAAAATCAAAATAGAAACATATTACATTTAAATGTTAACTTTTAAGATTTTTTGATTTTTTCTAATAAAAGATAAGCCACTAAGAACAAACTTATTTGCTTAATTATACGATGTAAATAGAGATTAATTTAAAGTTAAAATTTTAACTGATAGTATTTGGGGTGTGGGTGAGTGGGTGTCGTTGTGTTTGAATGTTTTTCTTGTCACCAACACCCACACCCTCACACCCTCACACTCTTATGATGAAAATTATGAATACGAAATGAGAAAAAAAGTACATTTTTTTCAACTACAGCTCTATTAGTTTGCTACTATTTTTAATTGATAATATATGTTCATAAAAATGGTTTGTATCGAATAAAATAGCTAGTTTTCATAATTAATTTTTTTCAATCTTAATATTCATGTTCCAGTGATGTGAAAAGAAAGGAATTTTTTTCTTACATTTATTTTATCTTCAAATGTAAACGTATACGCACATGTTCATGTCTCGAACGCCCTCTTTCTCATGCGACAGAGGCTCAGTGTCATTTTATTGCAATGGCAACAACGTGTATGTAGCAGAGCATCAACCAGGTCGTGTTTTTGTAGACCTGACCGGTCCGTGACAGGCCTTTGAGTTTCAAGCCTGCCTGTGCCTGCCAACTAATTTGCTTGACCTGGCCTGCTGGCATTATTTTTAATGCTAATACCATTACGAGGATAGAATAGAAACATCCCATGTCGCCTCTTCCCAGGTCGATCAACCTGAGCCGTAAACGGCCGTATACCTATCATTCACGGTGAAAAACGGCAACCGTATTCTGTAGTCGTTTACTGTTGCCGTAAACGAAGTTATACGATGAAATACGATCGTCGTAAACGAGGACCGTGAAAAATCTCCGTAAACGGTCATCGTAACTAAACGCTAACCGTAAACGACTGTCGAATATCACAGTAAACGATCGTCGTAAACGAGGACCGTGCAAAATCTCCGTAAACGGTCATCGTAACTAAACGCTAA